AGAAATCCGCGCGGAGCGTCGAAAATCCCACCACCCCTCTGGGCGTGGGTGGTTTAACGAGTTTGGTCTTCTCTCTGCCAATATCCCTCCTTCCCCTGCCTGGGGAAGAGGTTCTCACTGCTCTTTCTTAATCGAAGACGCCCACGGCGAATCGCCGCCGCCCCCTGCCTTTTTGCAAGCGCCCGCGTGGCCGAAAGTTGGGCTTGAGCTTGGCCAAGCTGTGGGGCAAGCGTTCCCCGAGTGGGTGTCGAAAGCCTGAGTCGGGCGAGCTATCGGACCAGGTGGTTTCTGAGCTTTCGGGCCTCCTGGAGGACGTCTTGGAGGGGTCGTGGCCCGTCTTGGAGGCCTCTGGCGTGCCTTTTGGGCAGTCTAAGGCTATCTTCAGACCATCTGGGGCCGTCTTGGGTGCATCTTGGGGCCATCTTCGCAGCCTTGGAGGCCTTCTTGGCCGTCTTGGAGGCATCTTGGAGGCCATCTTGGCCGTCTTGGAGGCCATCTTGTTCGTCTTGGGGACCTCTTGGGCCGACTTGGGGCCTTCTTGGGGCCCTCTTGGGGGCCTCTTGGGCTGTTATGGGGCCATCTTGGAGGCCTCTTGGGCGCTCTTGGGTCGATGTTGGAGGCTGCTTGGGCCGTCGGAGAGCTGAAAAGAAGCAAAAGCCAAAATCCTTCAAACACCTAGCGAAAACCAATGATTTTAACCTTGTCGGGCCTTCCTGGAGGACGTCTTGGAGGGCTCTTGTGCCATCTTGGAGGCCTCTGGCGGGCCCTTTGGGCAGTCTTAGGCCATCTTGAGGCCATCTTGGGCCGTCTTGGGTGCATCTTGGGGCCATCTTGACCGTCTTGGAGGCCATCTTGGCCGTCTTGGAGGCATCTTGGAGGCCATCTTGGCAGTCTTGGAGGCCATCTGGGGTTTCTTGGGGGCCTCTTGGGCCGTCTTGGGGCCTTCTTGGGGCCCTCTTGGGGGCCTCTTGGGCTGTTATGGGGCCATCTTGGAGGCTTCTTGGGCACTCTTGGGGCGATCTTCATGGCCTCTTCGGCAGTCTTGGGCCGTCGGAATCCGAAAAGGAGCAAATGCTAAAGTCCTTCACTAACCTACGGAAAATCCGCCGGCCCCCTTGTGGGGCCACCAGGCTGTAGGCCCGTGATTCGCAGTTTCCTGTACCGGTCGTATGTTGTAGTTTCCAGTGTTACAGTTCTGCTTCTTGCTGGTTACTGTAACTAGTTGATTGACCGCGCGAGGGGGGGGGCCCAAACCAGATTTTTAGCGTCTCCTGGGCGCGTTGTCTGAATTGCTGGGGGGGCTCGAAATCGATACCCCTTACGCAGATCCGCGGGGTCAGGGTCCAAAAACACACGGGATTTGCAACATTTCTGAAATTCGGTGCCACCCCTCACGCAGATCCGCGGGGTCAGGGTCCAAAAACACAGGGATTTGCCACATTTCTGAAATTCGGTGCCACCCCTCACGCAGATCCGCGGGGTCAGGGTCCAAAAACACATGGGATTTGCCACATTTCTGAAATTCGGTGCCACCCCTCACGCAGATCCGCGGGGTCAGGGTCCAAAAACACAGGGGATTTGCCACATTTCTGAAATTCGGTGCCACCCCTCACGCAGATCCGCGGGGTCAGGGTCCAAAAACACAGGGGATTTGCCACATTTCTGAAATTCGGTGCCACCCCTCACGCAGATCCGCGGGGTCAGGGTCCAAAAACACAAGGGATTTGCCACATTTCTGAAATTCGGTGCCACCCCTCACGCAGATCCGCGGGGTCAGGGTCCAAAAACACAGGGGATTTGCCACATTTCTGAAATTCGGTGCCACCCCTCACGCAGATCCGCGGGGTCAGGGTCCAAAAACACAGGGGATGTGCCACATTTCTGAAATTCGGTACCACCCTTCACGCACATCCATCGCAAGGCGTGGTAACCCAAACTGCGAGAACTCCCTCGGCCCTTTAATCGCAAGGTGTGGTAACCAAGCCGGTAAACCATACACGTCTTACCAATCGCCAGGTGTGGTAATCCCTCTTGTGATCAGTTGGTTTTGCTGATTGCGAATCGGCTTCGCATGAAGTTTCGATATTGCTCCACGACAGCGCCATAGTTCTTCCATGGCCCATTCTCCGAGAGAGGGGGCCGGCGGCAGGGGGCGAAGCCCTTACGGATCAATGATTTTGACCTCTTCGGGTCGTCCTTGAGGACCTTAGCGGACCTCTTCGAGGCCTCTTGGGCCGTCTTGGAGACCTCTTAGAGGCCTCTTCGGCCGTCATGGGCCGTCTTAGATGTTTCTTGTGCGAACTTGGAGGCATCCTGGACTCTCTTGGGCCGTCTTCGAGGCCATCTTGGACCATCTTGTGCGAACTTGGAGGCCATTGGGAAAAGAACCGGAACTAAAAGCGAAAGGATTCAGCACGCCGGGCACCCTTGTGGCAAGCCAACAGGGGGCGGCGGATTTGTATGGCCTTCGGCCCATCCCGCCACCGTGCCTGGGCTGTGGACAGAAAGCCTACTGGATGCTCGTTGGGATCTCGTGGGGGGCCTCTGTGGGGCCTCTTGGATTCAGCCTCTTGGGGGCTGTTCTGGGGCCTCTTGGAGCCTCTTTGGGGCCTCTCGGGAGCCCCTCTTTTGGGCCTCATGGGGGCCTCCTGGGCGCCTCTTGGGGCCTCCTGGGAGCTTCTTGGGGCATAAGGCTCGGATCTTCGGTTAGTGTTCCCTCTCTTGGGCCCTGGGGCGCTTCTTGGGCCGTCTTGGGGCGCTCGAAGGTCGTCTTGGGGCCCTCTTGGAGGCATCTTGGGCCGTCTTGGGGTGATCTTTAGGCCACACCGTGGGCATCTTGGAGCGATCTTGAGGCGATTTGGGGCCCTCTTTGACCATTTGGGGGCCTCTTTGAGCCATCTAGGCTCGTTTTAGGACACTCCTGGGCGGGATAGGCCGACGCGAGCGATTCTGGCGGCACCCCAGGACGGCCTGGGCCGGCCCTGGTCACGGCCGCTAGCGACTTACACAATTCTGGCTGCAGCAGCAGCAGCACAGCCCGCTCAGTGCTGCATGAGCACTGGGGCACTCCACTTCGTGCCCGAGGCGCGCTGGCGGATTTTCGCTCTCGCCGGGTCTCCACCCAGGGCTCCTTGGCTCGGCAGGACGTGAAACGACCCAGCCAGCGCCCAGAGCAAGGCGGAGGGATACACAATGAACTGCATCATTGCATCACCGCTCGGGCTGCACGCTGCGTCGTCCGTGCCCCTGCAAGTGGCGCACGATGTGAGTCCGCGGCCTCGACGCCAAGCCCTGATGGGCACGGGCGGGTTCCCCAGCATCGGCTCGAACTCTTGGGAGATTTGATTCGCAGATATTTCCGCGGTCGAAACTTGTCTTACTTACTCCAGCCCCATCCCCGCGAATCCCGCTTTCTCCCGCTTTATGACGGGTTTCATTTGGCCTCATCCGGTTCATTGGCCCCTTCATCGAGCCTAGTGGCCTTCCATCGCTCCCACGAAGACAATTCCCGGGAGTTGCCTGCTGACCTAGCGGGGCGTGAGGACTCCGGTTCGATGTGGAAATTCATGTTAATTTTGCCGACGGCGCCGACGCGTCGCCGACGTCGCCGATGCATGGCCCATGCATCGGCGATGGCTTGGCGATGCGGCACGATCTTCCGACCCCATCGACTTGGACCCCATCTGGGAGGTCTCCCCTAGCCCTGACATCCGACATGATTGTGAAGGCCTTGCGGCTAGTGCGGCCGACCCTGGAAGCAGAACCCCTTGATGAAGGTGACAGCCAGAGTTGTTTGGGAAGGTTGTGACCAGACGCCCCGAAGAGTTCCCCAGAAGCCCCTATGGGGTTCCCAAGAAGCGTATGACGAGGAGCGCCGCTCGGCCAAGCTATCTGCCTATGTGCTTTCGCAGTCCCTGACACCCGATATGAGTTTCTCCATTCGCGGCCCCAGAGGTCCCGACCAAATTCCCTGGAAGCAGCTTGTCGTCCCGGAGCCACTACTGCTGCCCCAGGGGCCGCCAACGGGCCCCGGAGGCCGCCAGCAGTTGTCGCCGACATCGAGGAAAGGCGCCCGAATGGAGAAGATCGAGCGTTGCGCCATGGGGGGCGATAAATCGGGGGGGGCGGGGGGGGCGGTGCTCCTTTCGTGCATGTCAGGGGCCCTAGACCCTCGACCTGCACCTGGCGAACTTGCGGCGCAGCAGGTGTCTCCGCGGCAGAGTCGCGGCGACCGCCGAGACCGCCGCCGCGGCCTCGACGGCGGCCGCACCTGTGGCCGAGCTGGCGGCGGCTGCTGCGCGGCACCTGAAGGTGCGGAAGGTGGAGGTCGAGGGATAGGGCCCTGTGGCCCAAAAGGGGCACGAAAGGTGCACGTTTCTTCGCCCCCTACATTTCTCGCCCCCCCCCCACTGAGTAGCGCCCAGGTCGGAAATCTGGGACCGCGCGTTACTCCTCGGCGGCGAAATCCGAATCTTCCCCTCGCCGATCAACGATTCAGGCAACTTTATGGGCGGCGGGGGTAGGGTTCGGAAAGCGTTGAATCCGTAGCGAAATCTGAACTCTAACCCCGCCTCTCATCGATTCAGGGTAATCGATGGTTGGTGGGGGTAGGGGTCGGATGTCGGACGCCAACTACGGTAGGTTCATGCGGCGTTGGCACGCTGGCCACGCTGGCGAAGGCGTTTAAGTCTGAATCCTGCGATGCTGAAGCACCGAGGACGCGGTGTCGAAGACCTTTGCTCAAGGGTAACGATCTGGGGGAATAGGCACAGGGGGGGGATGCATCGACCCCCAGCCGCCCACTGATCGTCGATAGGAGCCCGATAGCCCACGCCACCCAGGAACGTGCGGATTTACGATCGGGGATCTACCGCCGACCTATCGCCGACTCCACGTCGGTGTTCCTCCCATCGCTGCCCCTCATTTGCACGCACCGACGCCGCGCGAGCCTGCCGCAACTCCGGCACGCGCCTCGTCCTCGCCGCCCCTCCGCTCGGCAG